ATAATTGCGGCTGAGGATAGCTGGTTTGATGTGTTCTTTGCAAAAATAATAAATAAACGAATTAGGTTGTTGCTGAAAATAAGAGAGGCTATGGGAAAGAAGGAGATGACGAAGATCAAAGAATCTGAGATTCTTGGCCTGTCTTTTCTGATAACTTCACGGTATAGATTCCTTTGATGGTGGGGAGTGCTTTGACACGTATACATTGGTGCATTCACATGCATTGCATACAATTCTTATGTATGTATCATACCTAAGCTTTTGTATTTACATACATATACCTTGATTCCTGAGCAACTACATACCTGTGCTTCGAATTCTTGAATATTTAATATCTGACACCCTAAGCTCTAATTTCTTTATAAGTGTATCATTTTACTTATGTATGAAAAGCTTTATCAGTTTTTTTTTTATATGCTCTGAAAAAGTTGGATGCTATAAATATGAAATTTGGGTGAATATGTCAAGAATTGGATGGAATGTTTGTAAAGGTTTGAACTGCTTCTTTTTACTTTGCTTGCTTGGTGGAATTTTGTTTATTTCAGTGAAATTGCTCTGTTATTCTTAATTTAATCATGCGTGCATCTTCTCCCTGATACTTGCATTAATCCTTGTTAATCCTTGTGAATCACAAATGCATTTTTATGATTATTAATGGATAAGTTCATGAGATCTTTTCTTTGAGGAGTTGCTTGTTTTATGCAGAGAATCAGACATCTTTGATTTTGCTTATGGCATTAGCGATCCTTGAGCAGGAATTATAACTTCATTTTTTTTTTCCAAGAAAAGATTAAGTAAGTTGAGAGGTGATGGAATATTGTTTTATTTTTAAGCTATTCTTACATGCTTCATTTCTGCAAATAAAATGAGAATGGTGCTTAGGAATTTAGGTTCTTTTCCTTCTGCTATTTCTCTACCCACGCTTCAATTGCTCCCCACTCCATACTAAAAAAGAGAGAGAGACAACAGCCACTGCCTCCTCCCACTCAAAAAAAATAATAATAAAATGATTTTCTCCTTGCCGTTTTGCCTTTTTGAAAGCCTCCCTCTCTACTCTCGCCATCAACCAACCAAAGTTTTGCTCAATTTCCAAGTGGGCTTGATAACCTGTATTGAGTTATGGAGAAAGTCCTCCCTTACCCAAGTTATTACCAACACCCAACATAGCCATCTCGGGAAGCTCTTGAACAATGCTTTATTGTGCTGGGTGACTACCTAATCACTTTGGTTAGCTATGCTTAGGAAAAATTTTGTTGTTCCATGATACCGAGAGCAGTTTGATGAGACTTTTTTTCTGAAGCTCGTATTAAATCATGCCTGGTTTTACCGCTTCAGTCCCAAGTGAATGCAAGCACCCTTTTGCTTTGCTGAGGTGAGTTGGATTATTGAATATGTAAATTCATGTTGATTTGTACTTTTCATGGAGAAATTTTTTGGCTGCACAAAGAACGTGACTTCTTGTCTTTAGTGTTAGCTTTCGGGTCACATTTACCAGAGTGATTAGGTGCTGACCTTTAGTGAAAGATTTGCAAAATTGAGAATGAGAAAAAAAAACTTGCCTAGGAAGATTATAGGAGGAGATTTACATACACGCCACCCAGTTTTTTTTTTTTTTTTTTTTTTTTAAACATCATTTTAAAAATTTTTTTTTTTTTTTTTTTTAACATACATCTATACATAAACTACCTTTTTTGGGAGGATTTAAAAAGCGCTGTTTTTGGCTTAATATTCGCTGTTTTTGAAAGGGTTTAAATACTCCTTTTTTGGGGCTGATTTCCTTGTTGTTCGGAGGGTTTAATACTTCTTTGATGGGGCTGATTTTCTTTTTGTTTGGAAGAGTTAAATACCTCATTTTTGGGCTGATTCGCTTGTAGTTTTGAAAAGATTCAAAGGCCGGTTTTTTGAGCTGATTAAAGGCTGTTTTGGAGGGGTTTGGATGCTTCTTTCGAGGTCGATAAAGTGCTATTTTTTGCCCCGTACTTTGCTGTTTTGGAAGGCGTTTAAATGTCGTTGTGGTTGGATTTTTTTTTTCATTTTCCTTTTCTTTTTTTTCTTGCTCAATGATCCGGTTTATGTGTAGACATGTATAATGTAGTGATATATGGATCATCAAGCGGGGCTATAAGTTGGATGGTTTGAGGTTTAAAGGCAATGATGTGAAACGCTTCTGGTGCTAAATGTGGGATAATATAATAGTATATCATGGCCTGAGGACCTTCAGGCAGGGTGCAAGATTGATGTTACCATTCACAAGTACTTCGTGAAAAATTGTATTTGCTTCCTTAGGTTGTTGGTAACTTTAGCACGATTAGGGTGATTAACTTGTGGATCATTTGATTTACAAAATACTTATATAAAATATAATAAAAAAAAATATTTTCTTGTGACACTAGCTACTTTTGATTGCTAAGTAAAAATTTAACCTTGTATGTCTGGCAAATTAAAAATTTTGGATGTTATCCTATACAAGTCCATTTGTTAATCACTTTGAGCATGCTAGGACTTGCCTGTCTTCAATTGCTCTGTTGGTAGCTTCTACCCAATGTTGGACGGGACAAAGCACACAAAATGCTTATGGTTGTCTCTGGATGTCCCTCGAGAATTATGAGTCTAAGCCTATCCCGAATTTGAATTATTGTGGTCAGCCCCGATCTTTCATATATGAGTCACTTCATCTTTTATTTACACATATGACATGTCTTTTGTGTTGTTTAATCTTTCATAATATTTGCATGCTCTACTTGTAGTTCTAACCCCTTTTAGCAGCAGCTTTTAAGGCAGTAGGTACATACTACTACTTTCTTTTTACTGCACTCTACTGCATGTATCTTGTTTATATATGCAATGTTACTATTTTGTTATTTGCTATACTTGCGAGACCCCTAGCATAGAGAACAGTAGGACGCTTGTTTAAGAGGAACCCTGCAGCAAAGCCAGTGACTCAACAATAGTGCATATCTGAACACACTTCTTAAAACACAAATCAACACCACAAGGAGCTTGGAGCAAGCCTTCTGGAACATAAGGCGAGGATGGAAGTGGACAGATGACAACTTCAGGCGACGATCAAGGCAAAACATAAAGCAAATGATGAGCCTCATCTAAACATTTTGTAGTCTTAAACAACTTAAACCTTTAGGATTTTTAAGTTGTTCGTCTAGCACGACATAAATCTTTATTTTATCTTTTAGACATTCTTACGGTCGTATATTGTGCGATATAAACCCTAACTCCTTTTAGAATTTCGAGGTCATCGTTCAATACGACGTAAACCCTCCTGTCTTCCTAAACTATTTGCATGGTCGGACATTGTGTGAATGTAAGTCTTAAACTCTAAATAAATTGCAATATTGAAATATTTAAATAATAACATTTCCAAAATATAAAGCTGGACAATAGGATAGTCTGGGAGATCATTGGGGTTCGCCACAAAATCTGTGACACCTACTTCTCGCCCATTTGGATTTTAAAAGAATAAATGTTCCACATTGAGTCATTCTCATTTGACGTTCTTATGTCCAACCTTGAAAACTAAATGTTGTATTCTTGAAGACGAAACTCCTGATCTTAATCGAGAGTTTTCTTAAATGACTTTGATCATTTTAAATGTAATTAACTATACGGATTTGCCTCTATAAGAAATTAAGAATTCAGGTAAAATAAATCCTGTCTAATTTTTATATTAGGCAAGGGAATTGTCGGTACAAAAAACTCGCAGACCATACAGATGTCATAAGTTCTTTAGTTTATATAATCAAGCCCGCCATCAAGCGATAAGCTTACCTTCAAGGTGTTTTATTACTTGTAGTGTTGTGTTTGCTTACTTAAACTATGATTTTTTTGCCTCATTTTTCAAAATTAAAATACTATTTTCAAAATCAAAATTTTATATATATATATATACAATTTGACAACTGACAGCAGGCTTTTAAATGATATGTCTTTCAGAGTTGTCTTGGGTGAATGTGAGCATAGACTTCATAGAAGGGCTCCCCAAGCTATAAAAGTATGATAACCTTCCTATGATGATAGAACAATTTTAGAAGCCTCCACAGAATAAGGCAAAGCATCTTGTACCTGGGGAGAATGATGCGGGAGCTCTTCCGCAGATACCGCATCCTCGATATCACGATTGCAGCATTATTCTGCAAAGGGCGGAATCGATCCCGCGAAGTTGGATCCTGTGACGATAAAGTAGATTTTCACAATTCTGCAAGCTGAATTGAATGGGATTTCAGCAACATTCCCAATCTGAAGGAATTCTCCCGTATGAAATAGTCGCCAATTTTCAATATTTCTTTAATTAAAATTAGGGTATTTTTTAGAAGAAATTATTTATATTTTATTATTTCTCATTTTTGCAAGATTTTTGCTTGATTTTGTGTCTATATAATATTGTAATCTCTATTTTCTAACTTAAGAAGGTATCATCTTCCTTTTGTCAGTGGTGTGTCTGTAGTTTGTGCAAAAATAGGTGGAGAATCTCATCCATCGTTGTTTCAGAACTCTCTCTTTGTTGTTTTCAGTCGGGACAGCCGCCGAAAAATGCTTATCCCTATCCAAACATCATGAACTTGCATATTATCATTCATTTGTGATCACAACCATCTCCCAGCTAAGTCCCCTTCCTAAACTCGTTTCAGGCTCCCTAGAATGTTAACAAGATGCGCACAGCCATCCGAATTTGAGATGCGACGATCATCGTGAAGAAATATTCACCTCTTGATGACTAGGAAAAGCATTGAATTTTTAGCTGCTAACAACTCGACAAAACTGCAGGTCTAAGGAGCATTTATGCACTCATTTTACTTGATAAAGCAAAAACAATTTGTGGATAAAACAGAATGGTCGGCAGATAAAATAAATGCAAGCCATCATGAAAACAAAATAAAACAGCTGCAACAACCTATACTAAAAACACATAACAAATTCAAGCTTCAATATATATACAGAAAGTATGATGGCTATCGAATATGCTTGGAGCAAAGTAACACACTAACCTCAAAGGGCGCAAAACTGGTCTGCCCATCCAAGTTTACCATCGACAAACCCATAAACAGCCTAATCAATGGCCCTGTAGCGCAATACAAAGCCAAAATCCCCAAGATATAATTGAAGTACGGAGACTTCAAGCGGTATCTTTGAACGGTATAATCTTTCGTTGACCTCCATATTCTGTAAAAGCAACAACCGAATAGAACTAGGTACGAGATGCCGAGCACAATGGTCTCAATACCGCACGGTGTATAAGCCCCGAATGCATTCTCCGCAAACTTCGCCCATTTCCCGTTCGCCACCGGGCGGCAGTACCAAACCAAGGGTTCGAACGCCATCCCTGCTAATGTCGGAGATTATCTTGTTCTTCTAGCAACGGTTCATTCCCCTGACAACACCAAAAAATAACAAATAAGCTGAAGAACGAAAGAAAATCATCCACAAATAGTCAGCTCTTATCGATTCTCTTCCTGAAAATCTTGTTTCGATCAAAACTCAAGCAAAAATATTAGCTCGAACAGCTCAACAAAACCAGATTCGTAAAAGGAATACCTGAAACTCGCAAGAAACCCTAGATGTTCTGCGGACACTGCTGTGCGCCTCGCATTTTTTTTTCCTCTTTACCTGCGATTTTATGCTCGTTATGGGAGGAATCAGGGGAATCAGGAAGAGGAGAATGTATGCACCAGCCGTCAGCGCTGACGAGAGCTGCGGGGAGAAATAAATAAATAATAAAAAGTAGGCTGGCCAAGCGGCATTTACAAATCAACCATCCTTTTATCCTTTTTTCGAATTTACACCCAAACATTAAAATTCAAATCAACCATCCTTTTATCCTTTTTTCGAATTTACACCCAAACATTAAAATTCTTGCTAAAACCCAACTCATATTTTTCCTTTTAATCAAATTCTAAGTAAGGCTGTCAAAAAAACTCGTTGTTCGTGAATAGCTCGTGTTCAGATAACTCGTGTTCAGCTCGCTCGTTAAGTAAACAAGCCGAACACAAATAAGTTTTTAAAGCTCGAATTATAAACGAGTCGAACACGAACAACTCTTTGTTCGCTCGTATTCGGCTCGTTTTAGCTCAAAATTAAAAAAAATTATATAATAATTTATATTAATCATCATTGCTCTTGTGGTAATGTAGTTATGCGTCTTGTTTTACATATATTTTATCCAGGTTCGAATTCATCACTCTATATTTATTTTTTCATTTTAATTTTAACAAGTCACTTTCGAGTCGAATAAGAACATGTTGTTCACGAGCCGGTTTCGAACATGAGCAGATTTCGAACACGAGCAATTTCGAACGAGCCGAACACTAGTCAAGTCTGAGCTCGCTCAAGCTCGGCTCATTTACAGCCCTAATTCTAACAAGTTTGATCGTGTGCTTCGCAAATGCCATTAATTTGTAATTATCAATGTTTTGGTGGCTTGTATGCAATTATCCCAATTCTAAATTTACATGAATATAATTTCAAAATATTCAGCTGGGGGCTCCATGATAACGACATCATGATTTTTATTTTTTTGTCTATAAGCTGGACATTTTGACTAATTTTGGGCATTACAGTCCTAAATGTTTTATTTTTTTTCTTAATAATTTGTGAATTTTAAATTATAAATTGTGTTATTTGAATTTGTTTTATATTTGACAGTTCTTTAGTTTATTAGCATGTCGTGTTAATTGTTTCGAAGTTTCTCTAGTGAGCAGCGCGGACCCAAAGCCTTTGTTAGACTTTGGGGTCACTTAACTAATCTCTATGGCTAGTAACGATCTGATCTCGAACTAGTCTGGGATTGGCATGCATGAATAAATTTAGTGCGGCTTAAAATAGGATCGTGGCTGTTAGATTTGATTTCAGAGTCCGAGCTTAGCCGAGCCGACTCGAAATTGAATCAAACTCGTTCCAACTTGAAATTGAAATGTCATTTTCCGTCTACGACTTTAAGCCACATCCTTGCCCAAAAATGAATAATGTTGTTTCTACCATCGAAGCCTGCTGCTACCTGCTGCATCGTGAGCACCAACATGCTCGGTGGCGAGCACGAGAACAGGCCTCTCGATGATACTAGAAAATTTAACAAGCTTCAAAATTTATTTAAAGTGGAAGGAAATTTGACGAGTTTAGGAAAGCATCATATGATTCTTTTGGAAATATCAGCAAAAGGAATTTCTGTTAGGCAAGCAATTTATTATAATCAACACATCTATTCCTAAAGTAATGCACAGACGTTGGAAGTCTACATGCCTGTTACAATGGGGCATAATCCACATATGTTGCTTATTTCAAATCAAAATTTTAAATTTAAAAAAAATATATCATGAAATTATTATTATTTAGATTAAAAAGTTTTGAAACTTGCTTTTAGCTTCAGCCTTGTTTAATAGTTTTGTTTTTTATAGTTAGAACATAAAAACTTGATGCTTTACAAGGGCGCAAGTCTTTTAAACTTGAATAGTTATTGTACAAATGCACAAAACAAACACACACAACTTTCACGAAATACTTTTGCGCATAAATTTTTATAAAAATTACAACTATCCTAAGCAGACCCTTCATCTAAATGTCGTTCTTGTCCAATGTTATTGAACTAGTTCCCAAGCAACTCTACAACTAAAGCCTATTTGATTAAAAGTAAATCAATCATGCTAGTTGACTTTGGCCTTTTTAGATGTCGCGTGCAAATAAAAATTTGAATTTTTTATGAGAGGTGATTGGGGTTGGAAACAAGGCAACAAAAAAAATATCCAAAAGCACCTTTGCATGCAATCTTTCTCTATTAAGTGAATGATTACTTCTTTTGTTTTAGAGAAATCTATAAAAACTATTATTTCAAGCAACATACCATGCATATTATTGCAACAGTGTAGGATAATTATAAATTATCATAACATAAATACAAATGAAATCAACACGTCATTAATCATGAAATGATTCCTTCAAATTTTACAAGATTTAGTCCAATACATCCGTAAAAGAAAAGATGTATGTGTCATATCAAATTGTGTTCTAGCTTTTCACGCACTTGTCGAATATATAAGAATTAGGTGTATCTCAATTTGAATTAATCATGGCTGGCTTATGATCATCCAAACTATGAAAAGCATTCACAAAACTCAAAATCATTCACAATTAACAAATGAGCTCCAATTTCAAGGTCAAGGAAACTTCTCTGAACATTTGATATTTAAAAGATTAATAAAAGGCAACCAATAACGAGCTTATTTTAAAAAAAATTCCACTATCACAACAGAACATAACATTGTCAAATAACGATTGAAACAATAATATCAAAATATTAAACAAAATTCATATCGTCTCTATGTTGAACTCCATGTCTCCAATGGCGTGTTAGGTTTGTGCACAAGAAAATTCACGTGCTACAAGAGGAATATGGTGTACTAGTAAGGTTATGAAAATAAAAAATCAATAATATCTAAACCAACTATTCCAACAACAATATATTGGATGAAGACCGACAAAATTGAGAAAACCACAAGCAAATTCGGCTATCTTAGATGGAAAATGTACGATTAAGATTAGGAAGTTACTGAATGCACCAAAAAGTAAAGGCAAGGTCGGAGAGATGAAGACCAGTCAATGAGCTGACAAGAAAATTACTGCATTAAATGCTTGTGACCCGCCAAAACATTGAAGTGGTGACTAAAAAGAGAATGTGCAATCGGATAGAAAGAGATCAGAAAATAACCAAACTAGGAAACTAAGAAAACCCACCAGGGCACCACCGAAACCTTATAGGTATACAAACTTACTACCACATGAATGTTGAAGTGGTTGCTCAAAAAGGGAAGAGGGGAGACTGCAGAGGAACACAAAGTCAGTTGACACTCTATAAAACGAGAGAGATTTGAGTTGGGAGTAGTTGTGGGAATGAAAAAAGAGTTTGTGTTTAAGGGTGACTAGCGAATGCTGATGAGGGATAACCAAGACTTAAGTCATAAGTCACGGGAGCGGACAATCCAGATTAAAATGTCACAAGATTTCGAGAGAGGCAGCAAAATATAAAATTTGATTCGATCTTTAACTACTCGATTCGATATGACAATGGATTGAAATCAGATCAGAAATGATTAGATCCTAAAGTTTGACTCATAACTTGGCTCATTCTATTTGATCCGAGCTTAAATTCAAATCAATTTTCAAGTGATTAACGACCTTCTGCGCAACCTTAACTATGAGAGCAAGTTGAAGGTGCACATGGGTTGGGTGTCAGCCCGAACATGCATATCATTATCAAGATAAATGTAAACTTTAAAAACGTTATTTTGACTTGATGACTAATTAATTTTTTTAATGAAAAAAAAATGACGAAAATGAAACACTAAAGAAACTTTTAGTATTATAGTCTGACGAACTGAAACCTAAAAGTTCTTTTAGTAAAAAAATAATTGTTGCTAAAGGTAGATCATTATAATTATAATTATTTTAACAATCATCTCATTTTTTAAGAATAGATGAAAATTTTATAATTTACTACAAACTTTTGATCTTTAGGGTTGCACAAACTCCTAGAAGGATTTTTGTTTTTCTTTATGGTGAAAAATTGAACCATATATGACAAATTAATTGGCCCACTCAATACCTAATTTTAATATCAAGTCCACATATCTCTGCATTTTTTGGGTCTTCATGATTTTCTTAAAAACATTTTGGAGTTATATTTGGATCTTTCAACGGAGCTTTTATGATAAAAAAGAAGTGATCGGTACCAAGCTCGATCATGTCTCGATCAAGCACTTAAAGAGGAGCAAAGAAGTGATAGTAGTTAGAGGAACAAATGATCTATAAAACATATTTGTTGATAGGCCAATTTAGTATCTCGGAGGGACAAAATTCAACAAGAAAAAAATCATTCAATTCTATATCATTAAGATACCATAATGCCCAAAAAATACTCTCGATTCGTTATAAAAGTAAATATAAAAATTTATTCATTAAATATGTAAATACATAAAATAATGTGACATATACTTTAGATTTCAATTCTAAATTGTTTTGAATAATACCTATCATAAGGTTGTTGTGGTATATTGAAATAGAAAGGTAGACGACGAAGTGGAAAATAGAACGATAAAATTCACATCCAAAAACAGAAGAAGAACACAGAGATTTAACGAGGTTCGACAAAGATGCCTACGTCCTCGGGAGAGAGCGGCAAGTTTCACTATTTCAGAAGGGGGAGTTACATACCCATAGGGTTACACATCTATTTATAGATAAAATCCACAAATAACTACAAACACGCCCTCGCTCCCCCCAACCCATTAAGAGACAAACCTCTCCGTTACATGAGACACACTTCTTCATTACAGAAGACACACCTCTCCAATTTCAAGAGACTCCAAATTTCTGATATATGAGCCATACCTAACAATCACCACCTCGACGAATATCCAGCCACTCAGGAGAAAATCTTCACCTTGCGAATATTCAGCCCCTTAGGAGAAATACATCATGGAGATTTTGAAACTCCATGATGTATTTCTCCTAAGGGGTTGTATACTCGCAAGGTGGAAAATTTCTCCTAAGGGGCTGGATATTTGCCGAGGTGAATAATTGTTATGCATGACTAATATATCAGGAATTTAGAGTCGCTTGAAATTAGAAATGCGTGTCTTATGTAATGAAGATGTGTGTCTCTTTGTGGGTTGGGGGGAGCGAGGGCGTGTTTGCAATTATCTGTCGGTTTAATCTATAAATAGATGTGTAATTCTATGCGTATGTAACTCTCCTTTTGAAATAGTGAAACTTGCCGCTCGCTCCGGAGGACGTAGACATCTTTGCCGAACCTCGTTAAATCTTTGTGTTCTTCTTCTATTTTTAAGTCGATTCTTATATTTTCTTCCGCCTAAATTTCCTACAAAGGTAATTATATAGCAGCATTCCAAAAATCTCTATTTACAAATCAATCATTTTCTCTCATCCATCTTTTAAATTCTCACCCTAAAATTACATGGAAGTTTGATTTATAAATATCAATATTTAGGATGCATATATCCCTACATGTTAAATCAGATCAGGTTCGAAAATCGAGTAAAAAGTCGCCTATAAACATACTATAAAAAATAATAGAATTTCCATTGGGCTGGCCTATTGAAAAATCTTTTGAAGCCCAATTAACCGTATGGGCTGCATAGACTTAGGCAGCCCACTCCACATTTCGACGCAAATAATGGCATTTTCGTTAATAAATACTTTTTGGCATAACAAACCATCCCGCCTCCTACTATCAGGATGCGGATGCGAGAAATCCGCATAGGAGTGGCTCGTAATATAAGAAAGCAGACTTCGCTTCTGAGTCTCCTATAAAAATGCTAGTCGTTCAGGGTAATTTAGTAATTCATATATGAATATTTTTTAACTGAGCTAAATATAAATAATTTTTAAAGATTGTTTTATATATTAGCCCAACATAAATGAAAATTTTATTCATTTGTCAGCCTCATTTTAACTTAAAATAATTAATAATAATATTTATTTCTAACATTTTTATATTAATTTTTTATACTATATTTGAAAAAAAACATATAAGAATTTGTGGGGCATAAATGTAAATATTAAAAATTAGGTTTAGATATGTAAATAAATAGGAATTAGTTGGTATGTATTTAAATGCTAAAACGAACAAAATAAGACTAAGCTCAATTCCTTCTCATCTTAAGGCTATTAAAAAGTTTGTTGTTTGCGAACAACTTGTATTCTGCTCGTGTTTGAATCTTTCATTAAGTAAAAGATTCGAGCATGAACAAATTTTGTAAACTCGAATTATAAATGAATCAAATACAAATAAAAATAAATTTAAACGAGCTAAATATGAACAATATAAACTTTAATAAGCTAAATACAAATAAATTTTGGGCTAACTCAAGCTGTGAAACCTCGTCCCTCAATATTGCTTGCATATTGTACAAATATGTACTTATAAAGTTGAATTAAAGAATCATGTCTTCAAAATTTTACCCCTATTTATTCTTATAATGACATATTTGTAAATATGTAATATTTTAATTTTCTTTGTTGCATATGCGGAAAAGACCGCACTAAACACTGTAGAAAGCACTCTCTCCACCGCAAAGCCGGCCATCTTCCTCCACCGCCCCACTCTCTCACATCAACGAAACCTTCCCGGCTTTCCGCGCGCTTGATTCCTTCTCAACCTTGTCAGTTTTCTAACCCTAGGGAGAGAAAAGTTACCCTAAACAAGCAAAATACGTTTCTTTAATTCGACCTCCATTGTCCAGAGTTCGGTGCTTTTCACTTTAGATCACTGTAAGTGCTTTTAGTTCAATGTTTCATTTCCTTTCCTTATTATCGCCAGGTTCGGAATTTGTTCGTAACTTAATTTTTTTGGGCTTTGTTTGCTGGTATGTTAGTTTTTTTTTGTTCTTAATCGCTAATTTGTTTGCATGCTGTAAAATTTTCTTGGACCAATCTTTTGTTTTTATTTGCTTGGCCCGGCTCAATGATTTGATGCTGATTCTGTAACGATTTAAAGCTGTTATATGCGGTTCATGTGTTGGTTTTGTTGGTTATGTTCTGTTGCGTGCCGATTTGTGTTTGTTGTCCTTTTCCTTCGAGTTTGGGTCTGGCCTGATTCCAAACCTGAAGCCCTACTCCATTTGTTCTAAAAATTGCGATTACCTTTTCTTTTTTTAATTTAGACGAAGTCAACTTTTGATTTACTAATATAAACGAAGTCAAATTTAACTAGGTTTAATTCTTGGTGTATTTATTATTAATTTTGTATTCGATCCTTTGGATTTTAGTGAAACATGGAGGTGCAGATAAGTAATGCTGCAGCCTTAGTGGACGGCAAGCCTGAGCTCTCACTTGATGGGTCGACGCCTCTCAATGTTTCTGCCATAGCAAGCGAGAGTACCGGTAATGACTTTTCTTCCAGCAGTCAGTCTTTAATTGTTGAGATGGATTCATATTTAGAAGAACTCAATGATCGTTTGATAGTTTCAAGAATGGTAAGCAATTCTGTTATCAAAGGGATGGTCAGTGCCGTGGAACAGGAGCTCGCTGAAAGAATTTCTTCAAAAGAAGGGATCACAAATTTTAAAAATAAGCTACGGAATCATGACGATGTTTTGGAAAATTGTAGAAAAAATATTGCTTCCTTGGAAGAATATAAACCTTTGATTTATGAGCAGGAGTCAAAGAAAGATATTCAAATTGATAATAGTACAGCCATGCTTCAAAACCTTGTTACCGATCTTCTCCATGAGTATGAAACAAGTGTCATTGATAAAAGAACAATTAAGAATGAGTTAAGGGAGAAGTGGCAGAGACAGTCCAATGAATTTGCTAATTTACGACAGGAACTTGATGATTTACACAAATCTTTTATCAGTTGGGAACAGGGATTAGTATTTCTACACATCGGTCATGAACATTTGGAAGAACAAAATGCATTGAAGAGGAAGGAACAGGTCCATTGGAAGCCAGTTGGAAACAATATTGCATCCTACGATGAGAATAATCCAATATTAATAGAGGAGGTTAAGGAACCTGAAATGCCTAATTTTGTTGATTCTCCCCAGTTCATGTCCATGGAGAAGGAGCTGCAGATACATTATTTCAAAACTGAAATGGCGAAGATGAAGAGACAACATGATGGTGCTTTGCAAGAGAAGACAGAGGAATTGTTCAGCCTTAAACGTCAGTTTTTCAAGGAGAAGGGTTCCAGTCATTTGAATTTTAAGAAAGATAAGGAAGTTGAGTTGATGAAGAAAAGAATTGCAGAAACCGTTTCCAAGTTGGATAACATTATTTTGGAAAACGAGAATCTGACTACTGTTTTTGTTGATGAAGGTTCATGCAGTTTTAGGGAGAAAATTGATGGTATCCTTTTAGAAAATCAGCGGCTAGTTTCTCTCTTAGCTGCTAAAAAGAAGGAAAATTTACCTGATTGCTCCAAGGTTTTGGATACTTCAAATCAATTGCCAAATATATTTGTTGGCTTGGAGCTTGTAGATCAGCTAGAAAAGCTCCAATGGGACATGGATGCTTTGAAGATTGAAATGAGTTATAAAGATGCCATAATTGAGTTTATTTTCAGTCAATTTTCTTGTGAACTTAGAGATAGCCTAGATGGCATGGAGATGGAAACCCAAATTGATAAATTTATTTACTCTTTTATACTTATAGAAGTTTTTAAAGATATCCTCTCCAGGATAAATTCTATTATCATGAAAGTTTATGAGGAGAATAGTTCAGTTTCGAAAGAACTTTCGGAGAAGAAAAAGGAATTATGCTTAGAAGTTGACAAGAACAAAATTTTGAAGCAGCAGATAGAGTCTTCTTCAATGCAAATGAAAATTAAGGAAAATATTGCATCAGATTTGGAGGCCGATGTAATTCAAAAAGTTGAGCAAATTAACTCAATATGCCTTGAATATGACGTGCTAAGGGACCAGGCCGTTAAGCAAGGCATGATTATAGAAGAGAGTAAAAAGGAATGTGATCTGTTAAAGTGCAGATTGGACGATAGATCTCATGAAATTGATCAACACCAAGCTGAGATAAAAAAGTTGAACCGGAATCTCAAGGCTCTTTCAGTTGCTTTATCAGATGTTGAGGAACAGAGGAGCATTCTGCAATCTGAGCTTGTGGAGAATCAAGCTGAACTTGCTTCACAATTCATAAAGGAAAAAGAGCAAAGAAAGCAGGTGGAATTATTACTTGGTTTCATTTCAGAGTTAGCGAAATCTTTGGAGGAGTTGGGACATAAGATACTTAATATTATGGAGTGTAATGAATCAAGGTGTGATTACATTCTTAATCGTTTGGTTTTAACTTTTAAATGCCTGACTAATTTATAATTCTTTTCTTGCTTCCGTAGGTTGAATTTTGACAGCTTTTGTGTTAATTATCTGAATTTTTTTCTTGCTCCCATGAATACTTGGCTCTGTTATCAAGTTGCTTATTATATATTTTTCCACGGGCTGAAATATTGCTTATGTTTTAGGATTCATCTCATTATCAGCAGATGCCTTTGATAGTCAATTTGAAGCGCTTCATACAAAGTTATGTTACTGAAACTAGATTCCAATTTGCAGCGCTTCATACAAAGTTATGCAACCAAATCTAGACTCCTCAATCTTTTGTCACGATTAGTGAACCATGAAATATTATGTTTTGTGTTTTTTTTTTCTTGGGGGCACTTACATTACTTATCACCCACTCTTTTGTATTTACGTACCCAAATCTTTCATATCGCATAAAAAATACCACAATTTTAATTAAAAAGTGAAATACACCTTTTCATACATAGGAAAAGTGACATGTATGTAAAAATTGAAGTTTACGTGTTAGATATGTAGATACATAAGAATTGAGTGGTATGCATGAAAATTTTTCTTTCTTTCTTTTGTTTTCATCTTCAGTTGAACATCATCATTCTATTTTTTCTCTGATTTATGCCTTATGAAGTGATGGAGTCTGTAGATACATGGTTGCAGAATGCTCTTGATTTTATATGCTTTACATTAATATATCGTGTCAGTGAATTAATGTAATACAAGCTTTATCTAAATAGATTACTATTTATACAGGATTCTAGTTTTAGTTGGTGGATATACTTTCACATGCAATTGCTGCATCAAATCAAAACATCCTTGCATGCCAGAAATTTCATGGTACTAGATGGAGGTTTTATAATCTTAACGTTGCAGGGACGCCCTACACCCACACAGATGAATTGCCCACAAGATATCTGAGACAATATTTTTTGCTTGAAAAGGCCAAATAGTGAAAAGGCTTGGGGCATAGCCTAGTTAAAACATTTGTGTTATGCCGTTTGAAAGTCACTATGATCCACCCTTCTATATTGCAGAAGTAGGCTGGATTACAATGCCTGAACCATATGCGTTGTTTCCTATGATGACAGGGGAGTTGGTAGGTGGTTGTGTTGATGAATAAATGATTAACGGTGTTGGTGTCTAGTAACAACAATAAAAGACGTGTTTGAGAACGAGCAATGATGAAAATCAATAGTCGACTGATGACTAATGTTAGGGGACATGTGATGGTGGTCTTCAGAGGATATTCTGATGCTGGTGATGGTGAGTGGGTGATGGTGGATGATTGATGACAGCATTAACGTAGGTTGAATTTCACGACTCAACTCTAGAACTTAGAATTAACTAAGACGGATACAGACGATTGGACGGTGAAATACACTAATTTTAACATTAATACATAATAACATTCACATAGAAAGAGCCATTAAATTCACAATACACATAAGAAATTCTCAAACAAAGTCATAAGATCATCCAGTCCAAAATAGAAGAACAAGTAAAACAATGAAAGGGATAAAATATAACAAATAAGCTGCTACCTATCATCAATCACACACAACAACAACTAAGCCTTAATCCCACTATGTGGGGTTAGCTACATGAATCCTTTTTCTCCATTTTGTCCTATTTAGTATCATATTTTCATTTAGTTCTAATAAATTAAGATCATTTTTTATACAATAAGTCCAAGTCTTCCTAGGTTCACCTCTGCCTTTCTTAACATAAGTCGAATCTAAAACATCTACTCTCCTAATCGGATCAGCAGATGGTCGACGCTTAATGTGACCAAACCATCTAAGACGACTTTATCTAATTTTGTCCTTTACAGTAGCTATACCAACCCTATCACAGATATATTCATTTCGCATTTTGTCTCTAAGCGTAAAGACACTCATCCACCTAATCATTCTCATCTCGGCAACACTTAACTTAGTTTTATGCTTCTCTTTTAAAGGCCAGCCAACATTCAGCGCCATAGAGCATTGCAGGTCTCACCACTGTCTTATAAAATTTTCCTTTCAATATAAACGATACTTTTCTATCACATAAAGGCCCGAAGCATTCCTCCATTTCAACAAACCAACTTGAATTCTACTATTAACACCCCCATTTGTATCACCATCGCTTTGAACAATAGACTCGAGATATTTAAATCGTTCACACATTTTAATAATTTGATTACCCAAAGTTTCAATTCTATCACTAGAGCTACTACTACTAAAATTAGATTCCATGTATTCAATTTTAGTTCTACATCAATCACACACATATTAGTAATTTTATTCTTTCTATATATATATATATATATATATTTTAGCAATCGATCTCACAAGCACCATCAAAACCTTTAATTTTTTTTTCCATAAAGACACAACTTTACCATTTTGTATCATGAGATACAATCTTTACCATTACTTTTACCTTTAACGTGCATGATTACAATAACACACTCCGCTACTATCATAGGAGGTGGTTCCTCATAAACTTAATTATTTATTATCTTTCCAAGCATGATATTATTCATATTGTGTAGACACTCAACAAAATGGGGCCGCGAAAAGAAAAAAATATATACATTTACTTGTAGTGGCCCGTGTTATTATGTTGTTTGATCACTTGCTTAACAAATTTGGGGGGTGGGGAGAGTCTTCTCACAACCACATACCTCATCAATATGATGCTAAGTCGAGTCCTAAATTTTCAAATTCCCTATAATAAACTCATGGAATTCTACTCACATATTTGATCTTTTTCTTTTGACTTGATGTTGAAGATTTTTGGTTGTTCTGTTTCTGTTCACATCCATCAACAACACCACACCAAACTTGATCCTAAGTCTCTTAGATGTATTTTTCAGGGTAACTCATCCAATAAAAAATGAACATCTACTACTCTTCAACCACTATAAAAAAATATACAACTCAATAGATGTTATTTTCTTTGAGAATCAATCTTTTTTTTACAAAGCTAAAATTTAGGGGGAGAACTTGAGAGTATTAGATTTCTGATTTTTTTTAAGATACTCCTATCACGATCCGACTTTGGGCTTAGAATTAACTAAGACGGGAACAACTATCGGACAATATTAGCATTTAAATAACTATCTACCTATTTTTTAAAACTTTCAAAATATAAAAGAGCCAATAATATCCACAAAGTGCAATAAAATAAAGCATCCAAAAGCAATATAATTTAAAAACAACAAATCAAACCAGTATGTAATAGTATAACACTATTTGAAGGAAACATTACAAAGAAACTATCATCATAAATATCTAACGACAGTGGTCTTCCTTTAGTAAATCAAGTTTCTCTTATCAAACATATTAACTTATAAATTTTATTTTTCTGAAAGAAACTATTAATTGCAATAAAAAGTTTGACTTAGTAAACAATTACAATCATAATTTGTATTAAATTATCATGTCAATATGTTATGTATGAATGAAGAAAATGCATTTCATTATTTTATAAAACTTTTAAGTTTTCATATTAAATTTATCTTTTCTCATTTTATTTTAGGTACCTATCATTTTTAACTTCTTTAAGAGTCATGATAGAACTACTGTCATACCCAAATACATCCTAAAAAGTACTCGTAAGTACCTTAAAAAATGTACCCGAAAATACCCTAAAAAATATATCTAAGATACCCTCAAATTGCCCCCAAAGGTACATCTTTATCATTTGCTTTAATGTGCACGAGTATATCGTATCGCCTGCTAGTACTATCTAAGGATAATTTGTTTAACTAAACATTTATATTTCATTTCATTTAAATCTAAAATTATTTAAACTGTAGTTTTACATGTCTGTTATTTTCTTTTCATTTGTGATAACATTTCAAACTTTCAAATGCAAGACATGAATAAAATATTTATTTTAAGCTATTTGATAACGCAATTTTTCATTTAATAAAATATTAATTTAATGCATAAAAGAAAATACTTTCTCACTTTACTTGATGTGATAACCCTCATAAATTTTAAATCTTTTGAAAAAGATGTTCTTTATTCCCTAAAAATTTAGAACATGATATTAACATTTGTTTACTTACATTTATCCTGCTAAATATTTTGAAAACTAATAAAACCTTAAACATACATTTTTTTCTTCTTTCAATAAATTCCTCAATATATAACTGAGCAAAATTTCCTCGATTTCTTGATATCTATCATTAATAGAATTCACTATTACTAATTGATAAATGTTGAATTGAAGAATTGTTTATTAATTCATTAATACTCATAAAAAAATTTAAACACGATTCAATTTACTATTTAACAAAAAAATTAAACTCTCACTTACTACCTAGATCGATCTCTTTTCTCCTTGGCTTGCCCATTTCACCAACTCCTCTTTCCAAGCCAAAATTTTTATATTTAGAGTTTTGAATGAATAAAATATTACATTAATTGTATAAACATACCCTCTCTCTCTCTCTCTCTCTCTCTCTCGTGCGCGTGCACACACATACACATATATTCATCTAATAAGTTAATTAATTTAATAAAATATTAAGCATACATTCATAAAGTTTTCGGCCTTAGCCCTAACTCACGCACAATACCACATTCCCTCCTTCGATCGCAGTTCGACCCAGGGAAGCACACACGAGCACCACAAATCTCGTTCTCCTCACCTTTCTCCTTCAGCCTCGTCCAACCCTAGTAGAGCACACGAGGCTTCTGCTCTTTCCTCCACGTCGCGTCTCGACCCGATGAGCTCCCTCCTCCCTTCGGCCTCGACTCGCCCCAAAGCAGCGCAGAGTCTTTTTGCTTCCTCCAACGTCTTCTTCTTCCTGCTCTTCTTTCCTCTCCTTCGAAGAAGACCTGACACAAAATGCTGCTTCCTCCTCTTCCTCTGCATGCAGAGTTCTGCCTTGGTCGTGGCTTCCTTTGCACGTGAAGGCGGGCACAACTTCTTCCCTTTTCTTTTAACCTACTTCTCTCATAGATAAGTCACTCAACCTCTCCTATTCTTCTCCTTCGACTTCCTTCCTCGGTTAGGGCATTGCCACACTTCAAGCACGAAGAAACATTGACTACTCACACAAGCTTACATGTCGTATCAATAACATTACAAAATTGAGTTTCGTTTGTCGATCCCGTAGGGGACGAGATGAATCCAAATTCGAAAAATGTTCCAGTTTACTAATATTGGACCTAGCCTGAAATGTTGAAATTTTCGAAGTTGGACAAAAATTCATATCTTAAAGATCAAAACCTATGTTATCAAGCCACAAAGGGAGAATTCGATGATTTAAGTGCTGTCCAAATTCTCTTTTGAAGTGGTTATGTAAGGATACAAGCCTAGCAAAATGATTCAAAAGAAAGTGTCAAACAAGAGAAAAATCTTCCTTATCTCCTTCCGGTAGTCTAAGGAATTTTGACAATTTCACTAGTTTAGTTCCCTAAAGCCAGTGAAAGACCCAAGAAATACACGATCCCTATTTAGTTTGCACAAATTCAAACTCAATATTTCTATTCAGATGAATTTTTGTGGTTAAATTTGTCGTTCCTCTTAAATGTCTTTCAAAATTCTAAGATCACGATTAATTTTAACGAATTGACTGGCCAAGTTAAAAGTAATTAAATATCTGTAAGTTGATTCAACACTATTTTAAAAGTTTACACAAAGAACCACAACTCAATACCAAACAAACTTCACTACACTTCCACAACAATGAAGAACAAAAAAGTCTACTCACTAAGCATGCCAAATTTCATCAACACAAACATTGCATTAAAAAAAGAAATCATATACAAGAGTTTAACATATTGATCATAGAAAAACCTACAAAAATTTAGAATACTTATCTCATTCCAATCCCAAGTAGGCTGATGGAATTACAAGCACACTTATATTTTATGACTCTCTCTCTCTTCAACTCACTTAATTGCAAAAATGATCTTCTCTGGCAATCTCCACAAGTTTTCCACACTTAGAAAAATCAGAAAAAGCTTCTCTCTAGTCGTTTGCATCGTTTTTATTCTTCTCCCGGCGAAGAGACGCGCCCTAACTGTAGAAGCCATCAATTTTTGCAAACTAACGCCTAGGTGCCAAATACAATTTCTAGTTTGGGCTTCGAGCTCCTAGGCACACATGTCGCAGTGCCTAGACACATACTTATTCGGCTCTCAAGTTTTCTGAGCAAAAACTTGGGGGGTGGGGGGTTGGGGGGCGACGCCTAGGTGGCCTTGGGCAATGCCTAGACGCCCAATCTCTAGCGCCGAAGTGGCCATGTCACGGCGCGTACTTTCCAATCGCTCGGTTTGCAACACGTTCATGAGCATTCCTTTGGATTTACTTTTCTTCAATCCCCTTTTTTATATATAGATATTCCCTTTTTAACTCATGATAAAGAATTATTATATCTGGATTAGGTTTTAATGATTTTGAATTCTACTATCCTTTCCGTAGATTTAAATTTTCATAACATCTGTTTCCCGTTTAATACTTGTGACTTGTAAATTAATAACTTTAAACTCTATTCAATAGAGACCAGACCTTTAAAATTATCAATCCATTAATAATTAATTAACCTTACAACTAGATTATCCTAGAATTGATTACTTAGATTTGATTGGCTTTTGTCAAATAACAAAGTTCAAGTTCCAACTAATTCAGTTTAACTCTACTAGATACATATGTCATAAAATTAGATTGCTTCGGTCTTTAACCTAATCCCACCTTGATTAAATGAAAAATAAAAAAAATTACGCTTCAAACTACAATAAAGGGCAAATAACCTTAAGTGACCTGGTATTTCCCTCAAACTTATTTTGCATTAGCACAACAAAATGATTTTTACAACAAGGAATATAACATTTATAAAATGACCACGCCATACAACATGTTTCACTAAGCACATAATTATATATGAAGGTGTGCAATCTGCACAAAAGTACGTGAAAATGATGCAAATCGCAACAATATCTCAGATCATGAAATTTAAAGCACAATCACATCAAACTTCCACTTATTAATTACAACACCAACATAAAATATCCTCAGTGCAGTAAACATAATAGCCAAACAAATAAACATGCTGAGTTTTGATACTGCAGAAAAAATCTAACAAACATAAAAGAACAACAGAAAACAACACAATCAATCGTAACAGAAGCACAAAATCAGTCCTCTTTCAGGAGCAAATCGCATCAATCTTTTTCTTCTTTTTCAGAATCCTCCATCGGTCGGCGGATGCTGTCGTAAACAGTATACGATGGATGAGTAGGAAAAACCACCGGATCCAGCCCTCCCAACCATTGGTTTCTGCGGTACATCTCCAGCTGGGCAGCATGATAATCAACAAGGTAATCAATCTGCATCTTGTTTTTCAAATCCATATGATGGCAGCGATCTGCTAAAACATACACCTCCGACTGAATGATGGAGGTGTCTTCCGCAAGAGTTTCTAGATGCTAAAAGACAGAAGCAGTGGAAGTAAAAGGGCGAGGTCTAGAAGAGGAAGAGGGACGTGCAGAACTCTCACCTGCCCGTATAACAAAGAAGTTTTACCATACACCCCTATGTTCTTCTTCGCGATTTTCTTGGTAAGAGGCAACTGTTCCTCCCAACTCTCATATTGTACACTATTCTCAAGACAGAGTGAAGATGACAGAAGGATGCCCAACCCGATGGTGGACCCACCTCTCAACATGTTTTTAATAGATTGATTAATAATGTCCCCAACATCAATAGTTTTATCCTCTTGAATGCAATAGTTGATGATAGCATGCCTTAGGTCACCTCGCCCAAATTTGTAAAAGGGAGGAGCTTAGCAGAAATGAAATAATGCTAAGCTTTGGACTCGACATTCAAAGCAGCAGCAAGGAAGTTGATTTTCTTGTTCTACCTAACTTTCCACTCTCCTCTTCTATTGGTCAAGAACTCAATAATTTCATCCAATTCCTAGTCCGTGGGCCCGAAATTGAAGTAGAAATCACTGGGCCGGTTTAGTAAGGAATAGAGGGCATTAATCTGCTCAGATAATTCACTTCCCTCCCTCTCACAAACCCCTTATCATTAAAAGATTCCTTAAGGTTCGCGACCCTAACCACTAGAATAACCGTAACATTGGTTTTGAAGCAAAAATTTTCCCTCTTTCTCATATCAATAACTCCTTGAACCTTCCCCCTAGGCTGGATAAATACTCGCTCTGGAATAAATTTCCTTGACAAAGAAATTCTTGTAGCGCTCTTCTGCTTGAGCGCTAACATATTTTTTGGCATCATAGGGCACTCTTGATTTTCCACCCTTGGTCTTAGGAGCCATGAATGAGAGATTCAAGTAAAAATCAAACTGATCAAACTAATGATGAAAATCTTAAACGCAAGAGAGTTTACAGAAGGAGAAAGCTAGACAAATCTCACGACAAACACGAAATGAAGGAGGAAGACTGAAAGGATTGAGGTTAAGGAAGGAATGTTACCCAATAAGCACTTGATCTATCCCACCCTTCTTCAAGCAAAGCTGAGATTTTTGGACCCCTAGGGCTTTAGGTCGAAGGATTTGGGCAAAAGGAGGGAGAAGATGAAACGAGTGGAAGAAATCACTTCCACCAGTAAAATTGTTTTTTTATTCAGATCGGGGTGACTAGGCGCCTGGGTGCAGCGCTTGGGCGCTACACCAGATTTGTCCAGAATAGAAGCAGCGCCTAAGCACCGCGCCCACGTGTAGAGCCTAAGCTTTAGTGGTGCCTGACTTATGATTATGAATTTATGATATTATGGTGGTTTTATTGGCTTCACACAGCTTCAATGCATGCATCTGTTCTTTTCTTTTCATGATTGTATGTTATGTTAGAACAATTTGGTCTGCAACTTACACTTAAAAGAAAAGTGTTTTACTGTTTTTAACTTTAAACTTATGCTAGGCGCATGAGGATGTGCCTACGTTTTTGGAACTATGTGATTAGGATTGTAATAAAAATCTCTTTTTGCATATTTGGGCGAACTTTATCACATTTTTATCTCCACCTATCAGCATTATGAAGAATTACAATCTTTGTAGTGAACTGAGTTCTCCCTTTCATTTTCAGGTTAAAGGTGCTAAGTTTTCAATGTGTTGAGCTCTCACACAAGGCCAAGAAATTTCTTTCGTACAAAGAACTGTTTGAAAGAAGATGTGAAGATCTTCAGAAGGCTGAAATTGAGGTACATGCTTTTCCAGTGTCTCTTTTTATGTTAAAAAATTGCTAATCTGAATGGGGAAGTTTGAAATTTGATGTTTGGTCCACAAACCAAGCATGAAATATAGGTTAAAATTATGGAAATATGAATGATAGATAATGAATAAATTCGAGGATCTTAGTTACTAGAGAAGACATGCAATCTATAACACTTTTTGCAGCATTCATAATGTTGAACTCCAATGTTTGGCATATGGGAAATAATGATAATGATTTTTATTTCATGATTAAAATTATTGTATGAATTACTTTTATTCATTTGCATCTTGAATATTCAAAACATTTTAAGGGTGTCTAGGATTTAAATTTATATCTAGCATCAATTTAGAGTTATTAGTGATTCAGTTATGCTGCAAATTTGCATGGTTTTGTTGGAAGGCAAGCTATTAATCTTAAAATAACTATTTACTACCTTTAATTAAAATTGGAAAAGACTAGAAAATCTATTCCAGTGGAAAAACAACGGATTTCTAATAGTATTAGCAATAAGAACTAAAAAAATATGAAAGCCACATACTGACTGACGTGGATAGAAAGAAAATTGATTTTATTAGACTTAATTCATACTTTCAATCCATAATGATACAAGAGAGAAGAGGGAGCGAGGAAGAAAGGTTAAAAAAAGGAAATAAACCTCAGGTTTGAAAAAGATCACCTTTCCTTGAAATTTTGGTTAATGGTTTAAAGTATGGTTAAAAGAAGAATAATTTGTAATTCCAAAAGCAATTTTATTCATGATAATGAATTATTTTTATAAAAATAAACTATCAGAAACTAAATCTCATGAATTCATGAAATGATTGAACTTTTTTGTTTGAAAAAGAAATTAGATCTTAGCAAATTTCGTGTATGAAGAAAAGAAGAGGAAGATGGAGAAAGTAAAAGGTAAAGTAATTAATAAACTAGCATCTTGCTTGAACAAGATCTCTCCTGGAATGCTAAGTTTTACACTTGGTAAAGGACTAGACTTAGTGAAGAAGAATAATGTGCACATCAAAATCAATTTTATTCTAGACAAAGAAACTCTTTTTCTTGCCTCAATTATCCATTTGTAAATATCTTGAAGCACCAAATAGGTTAAGGTAGCACCGCCAAAATATTTTTTTTGGGAGAAACTATAGAACTACAACCCATCCTATGAAAATATATTGTGAAATAGTATAGTGAAGCCCCTCAGGTTCTGCACAATAAAGTAGGTATGTCCTATTAAGGTTTTATTAAACTTTTTTAAAGGGGCTAAGCTTGCTATAGCTTATATAATTAAAATGGTTCAAACAATTTACACATTACATGCTATTCGGGGCCCATTTAAACCTACATTTTAACATAAACAAATGTTAACCTATTTTTAAGTAATAATAAAATAAATAAAAAGGATAAGATTTTAATCACAAAAATAAAAGATATTAAACATTATAAGAAAGATCTACGAAACTAAATCGACGTAGTAAAACAACAATGTATTGTTGGCATGAAATGAAGCAACAAAATATTGTATATAAGCCACGTCTTTGTATCATGATAAATTCAAATGCCCTATACAACATTAAAATGACGGCGTACTACATTTCATTTCAAACTTGTTTTAACTATCAAAATAAATTAACAACAAATTATAGCAGTTAAAATCATTTGCATTGGCCTCCTGTGCCTTGAATTATGTTATTGAACTTAATTTAAGAGGCCTATGTTCCATTACTAAGACTCAGTTGCTCTAGAAGTTTTGATGTAGGCTTGAAGAGGAAGCCTTATTGCTTGCAACACCTATCTCTGCAAGTATAAACAAATGATTTATGAGTAACAAGACACTTTACTGGCTCTTAAGCAATCTGAAGCTTCTGAACTCAGATTGATCGGATGAAATTTTAAATAAAATAAATAAGAAACTAATCTAAACAGACGCTTAAATAGTTTTTGACTGTTACTGGACAATTGTTAAGAAAAAAAAAAAAAAAATAGCATCTTTAGTATGGTAATGCAAGTTAAGCTATTTAAAAATATTTGCATCATCTAACCTAAAGAAAATCCAGGTATTTGCATATTTGCATCCAAACAGCAGCACAACCTATGTTTAAGGGAAGAAAGAGATAAGAAAAAAATAATTCTGAAAATATGTAGAAAATCACGAAGTGTCTTTAAAAATATCCAAAAATTCAAACAACAACATATTGAAATTGTTCTGTTTAAATTATTTAAAAAAATAGATGTAGGGTGTTGAATTCGAACCTGTACCATTTCTATACAATAAAACACGCATAATCACATAAACACACAAGATTTTTGTAATTTAAACATATATATACATATATATATATATATATGATTTATAATTCGAGCTTAAAAAATTTATCTATTTTCGGTTGGTTTACTTCATGAAAGATTCGAACACGAGCTACTTAACGAGCCGAACAGGAACTGTTCACAAACAACTAGCTTTTTTTACAGCCCTATGGACAAATAGAGCTCATTCACAAATTTTCTTAAAAAAACAAAATTATATATTTAAAACATCAAAATCAGGAAAGGAAAAACAACCCATCTTAAGTGAAACCCTCAACTGGATCAATGCTCTTAATATAAACCTTCTTGTGAAGATAGCTGCAAACTTTTCCTAAACTTGGCCAAAAAGCATAAAAACACACTAAAAAGGCTCCATTGGTTGAACTCCGCCCTGTTTTATCGAATGCTAATTGCTGACTTTCCCTCGAACTTCATTGTCACCTTTGAGGTCTTCTTCCTATCTTAGTAAAAGTCTAACAAGTCCACCCACTTGAATTGAATCCCATTGTAGCCAGTGTGGGCTTCAAGCCAGTCATAGTGGATGTTGGTCTGCTTGTTAAAGCAGATGATGAAATTGCCATCGGAGTAATTCGTATTAATCTCTTATTAAGTTGCTTGCTCAGACTTCACCAGGCTTAAAAGTGTTGAACTAAATAAGTATTAATAATTTTCAATTGGATTCATATGTAATAAAAATTAAACTTAATTTACCCAAGCTTAAAATGATCAGCCCAAACTAGTATTATTAAGTTTCAATTAGTCTCATATGTAATAAAAATTAGATGAGTTGAGCTAGCCCAACTTGTTAATATTTGGTTCATTCATACTAGATCATATCAGGGCCGGACGAGCCTAATTAACAACACTACAAAGAATCGAAGGAAACCTGGCTGGTGAAATAGAAACACAACTACAAGAACCAGTTATATGCAAGATGCACAATTTATGGAATCTAGACTTTGCAATTTGCAACCCTTGCAAAAAATCCGCACATCTCAGTTAGCTTTAGAATAAAGTAAGATTTACATGCATATTAATTAATTTCTGTGTATTTACTTATCTAATACGTAAACTTGAATTTTTACATGCCACCTTATCTATCATGAAAATATTTATTTATCTTTTTAAAAGTTAAAATAACGATATTTTTGATGTGATATGAAAGATTTGGGTGGTCCAAATGTAAGATGTAAAATTTAAGTGTTAGATTTGTAAATACATAGGACGTGGTTGGTATGTATGTAAATGACCCTAGAATAAAATAGGATAACAACATCCCTACGAAGGTCGTTCATTATTGACGTGTAATGCTGCCTTTGACCCACTTAACTAATTAAAAACATTCAAAATTCAAAATATAAAAATAAAAATTTACAATTTAGATTGAAAATTCAAAATGATTCTCGTCATTGCACTTACAAAATAGGTAAGCAATTTAACCAATGAATAAGTAGACTTCACAAATATGTAATCAAAAGTTTCCTTGTACATGGTCAAGTAGAGCAATGGTTGTCAACAAAGCTCATTGTTTGAAAGCAGCCCATGTTTGACTCGTTAATTAGCTCGTGTTCGAATCGTTCGTTAAGTAAGCGAGTCAAACACGTACAAACTTTTAAGCTCAAATTACAAACGAGTTGAACTTGAACAACCTTTTATTCTATCATGCTTGGCTCGTTTTATGACTAAGCTGAAATCACCATAATTTGTGTGGTTATGTGGTATTGTCTCTTATATTGCATAGTAATGGTGCAAATTTGAATCTAGCTCTCTACATTTATTTTTCTAATTAATTTAAACTAGCTAATTTGAGTTGAACATAAGCTAAAAATGAATACAAATATTTTTCGAGCCGAACAAGAATAGTCACTGTTCGTGAGCCATTTCGAACATGAGCCAATTTTGAACAAAAAAAAAACAAAAAAACAAGCCGAACATGAACACACGTTCAGCTCGCTCGAGCTCTGACTCGTTTACATCCCTAAGTAGAGCCTGCTGCCGACTTGTACTGAATTCATGGTTTTGGGTCTTCTTTTCCTCTTTATAATGCTATTAGTATTTTTGTTTTTTGCTTGCATTTCAGGTTGATCTTTTAGCTGACGAGGTTGATAATCTGATCTCTCTTCTTGGCAAGATATACTTGGCCCTTGACCATTATTCTTCTGTGCTACAATATTATCCTGGGGTAATTGTTTTACTATTGATTATTATTATTATGCTTTATGATGTGAATGTCCCCAATTATGGTATATGACTATTAAGGAAGATGTGCATACATACCACTCAATTCCTATGTAATTGCATATCTAACACTCAAAGTTCAATTGTTAAATACATACAATTTTACCTATACATAAAAAGGTGTATTTCACTTTCTGAAAGTTTTAATGGTGGTATTTTTAATGTGATATGAAAGTTTGGCTGTCATAAATGTAAAAGTAATGTCTAGGTGTTAGATATGTAAATGCATTGGAATTGGGTGGTATATATGTAAATGCTTCTTCTTTATATTGATCAGTTTAACTTATTGCAGGTCATGCAGATTCTGAATCTGATTAGAAGAGAAATCAAAGGCGAATGCTAAATCATTTTCACAAGTTTGCGGTTCACTGAGTCCAGTTTTTGCCTCTAATTTTGTAGTCAGGAGATAGGAAGTTTTTCTTTTTATTTTAATTAATATATTATTATATATTTTTAATGAAAAGCTTTTTGAAATGTAGGTGGATGGGTAGAATTTTGATGGTTTCCTTACTTTAGAAGAAGCTATAATATGAATATTAGTCAATAAAATACAGAACTGAATTGAAATGGCTGTTACTGTATAATGTGGTTTTGAATTTTGCATGGAACTAATTTCCGGTTTTTTTTCTACAGTTGGATTTCTGTACAGTTGTTTTGATTCTCTACGGTTGAATGATGGTTAAGTGTATGAGTATATGAGCGGTAGTCCAAATCCAGCCATAAAATTGTGATTGAATGGCTGATTATGATTTATATTTGATATGTTATCATGAAATTTCACCATTTGACATGAATTTCGAGACATTTTTTGGGTTCAAATTGATAATTGTTTAGAGTTCTGATTTCGGCAAGATTATTGTCAAACCGACCTTACCGATAAGATGAATCCAATGATATCAAAATTAGTTCAATCCGAGTCCAATCAAGCCATTAAATCACATTTGGAGGTTTTGTGCTGTTAATTCGAGAGTAAAATGAACTTTAAATTTGATGTACTTATATTCAAATTGATTGTCTTAATCAGTGGAATTCAATGTGCCCAAGATCGCTCGATTTTGAGGTTATTATGGCCCTTAAATCTGTAAAATGCCCCTGTGATTAAGGGCAATTAGTTGGACTATTCGATTGGGTGGTTATGTGAGTTATTCGCTAAATGACCAGAATGCCTCTCCCATGAAGCTTATAAGTAAAACTTATTTTTTCATTTGGAGGAGAGAGGAATCAATTTTTAGTGTTGTTCTGGGTTGAAAACCCAACGATAATTTTGGTTGAATGACCATGATAATATTCTGTACGGACAAGTGTTATAATTGATATATCGTTGTAACCCTTCTTTCTCATTTATGAGACAATGGCGCATCTTTATAATTATATATTTATAGTGAATTATTTTGATTGAGTTATGTGTGTTTAGATTTTCATATAATGTTAAGACATTAATCATCACTCTAATGTCATGAGTCTGTCAACACGCAACAATATCCTATTTAAAATCACTTTCTGAATTTCATTATTGGGATTGAGCAATTGGTCGCTTGAAGTGTTGGATGAAGAATGAGAACTTCCTGAACAATTGAGGGCTCTCTATATAATACCAGATGGAACATTGTCATAGTTGTCCGAACTTTTATTTTAAATTGCTTTTAAATCAATTTGAAATCAAAGTCAAATTTAATTCAAAGAAAAAATTATACACATATCACTCAATTCTTATATATTTACATATCTAAAACCTAAAGTTTCATATTTTTGATGCAATGTTAAAAGGTTTGTGTGATATGTATCTAAATATAATAATTGGGTGTCAAATATGTAAATACATAAGAATATGGTGGTGTGTAAGTAAATCATTCTACTTCTGGCTATCTTCCTTCTTCCAACCCCGTCGCTGTTACTATTTTACCCGCACAAATCGTGACTCCTCACAATTTTCATTAGCCCCAGAACCATGACTTCTCCAGCTACCATCGGCATTGGCGAACTGCGATCTCACAAACTCTCAAGCTACTGTTTGCACTTGCAAAGGTAATCAAAGACTAACCCTAGCAAATGTGATTTGCCCATGTTGTTTGGGCTGTTCAAATAATCCATTCATTCGGATCGGTTTATTCGACCTGTTTTTGGTTAAGGGGATTTTAAATTCTTAATGAAGGTATAGACATTTGGTCCATTCAGATTGATTGATTGATTGAGGGATTTGCTAAATCAATTAGTTGATGGATTTACTTTAACCAATTTTTTTATCTTCAGATCCATCCAATGACTGAAATCCAAATAACCGTTCAATTGGAACAAATAATCTAAACGAAATATCATCAACTGAACCGAATCAACTAAATATGTTTGGTTAGGTTCAATTTTTCGGTTTAAACTAATTAATGCACGCCTCTGCATGTTGTCCATTTGGTCTTTTTCATAGAAGTTGAACTTTTATGTTCTCATCCAACTAAAAAGAAGATGGAAAAAATTAGTTGAATCGATAAATTCAAAGCTCTAAACTTCATAAATGAGAATAACGAAATTTATTTTGTGTCCATATTTAATATTGAGAACAATTTTGCAAACGAAAATGAACAGATTATACTAAGTTGACTTTCACAATTCAAGCTAATTTTTCTTTTTATCATTTTACACTATGTTTTTATGCTTGGTCTATTTGCTGATTGCAAGACATAACTTCATTAGTTGAATTGTTAAACTATTTTCTTATGAATTTTTTTTGGGAATTTTTAGTTGATCACAAACAGTTTTATGCTGAATTCATGTTAAAGATATGTTACTTTTAAAATTAGGGAAGTTAAAAGTAAGCAACCCAAGAGCTTTTACATGCTATTTAACTATAATTACTCATAAATTACTTAATTATTTGAGGTGCTTATTACTTGATCCCCTTTGTAAAATGTCCCATTAATTACATAGAAGTAAAAAATGCTCTTAATGAGCTAATATCCTTGGTTGGAGGATGGTAGTTCATCAGATGAGAATATTTTCATTTGCAGGCCGGGTTGATAGATGTTATATTGGACATCAATATGTGGCAGATGTATTGGCTGGTGTTCTTAACACTTTTGTAAAATATCATTTGAACCATTTGGGTTATTGTGAGACATTGTGGTAGGTTGTGTTCTACCTAAGCACAGGAGTAGATGATTGCAGCTGAACGATGTGGCATATTCAAAATCATATATTTCTTGGGGTTGCTGTGCACGCACAATTTTACAACTAATTATGTTAATTCTTTCAACATTCATTAAAAATATGAAGTTGATACTTCAACTGTCCTCTACAAGTAATAGTGTTATTGTCATATGAGTTTATTATTTTTTCTCCAACTGAAGCAAGCTTTTATCCTCACATAAGAGCAAATTTATTATTTTATCATGTTCTTCTGCAATATAATTAGGGCAACATATTAAATACACGCACCATTAATTATTGGTTGGGGGTTACAATGCATATATTGAAATAAAAATGTATTTACTTTCTCAAAATTTAAAGGCAGTTGACTCGTTTGATAAAAAAAAATTATCCGTTGCTTGAAGGAGGGACAATTTTGAGTACCACATAAAAAAACTTGCTCAGTTAGTATGGGCTATGACAAATTTATGAAACCTTTTTGATGACATTGATATCATTTGAGTGAGTAATTTGGATGCACATCTTATATATAATCAGTGGCACAAGAATTGTATAATCATCGTTATACTTAGCTACATAACTTAGTAGAAAGAGCGTTTTTGAAAATAGGGGTTTTAAGTGTTTACTCACATGCAACATTTTTTCTTCGTGTTTAAGTTAATATGATTTTCTTACAAATTGTTAAACAATTTGATTGACCGCTATGACTGTCATAGCCTATATGTAGAGTGTCTTTAATTGAAGTGCAACATGATAGCAAGCCGGTTGTTCATTAGTTCATTCTGCCTTCAGATGTCGAGGTGAAAGGTATGGTATGTTTTATGGACTTTTATTTTGCTTTTAGCATTTGCATAATTCACATTTATTTCCATGAAATTTTATGTATTATCTTTCAGAGAGCTAGAATTATTCCAAAAGAGAGTTAACTTTTTCGTTATTTTGGCTTTGGTTATTCACGAGCCTTATGTAATTATTGGTCTGCTTTGATCTGTGTTTGGCTTTTGCATGCAAGCTGCTGCCATCAATTAAGAGCCGTTTGGGAGAGCTGCATTCCCCTTGTTTTTCATCGCCGTCCATTTTCGGAAAGGCGAAAGGCCAAAGTCGCTAGCTGCCATTGTTCTGCATCAGAAATCACGGTCCAGGTGAAAAATTACTATGCTACCCATCTACAATTCGCTAAATCCCTCCCTATGTCCCCGATAATACCCTTCTCCCTCCATTCGGCTTCATTGTGGCCTTAGGGCAAAATTGCGGTTCTTTGGCCCCTTCTCTCCTCCATTTGTCTTCGTTGTTGCGGCATTTTGCCGCCTCTCTCTGTATGTATAAATTTTCATCTTCCTTTCTTGTTTATCCTCTATGTTGGTGGTTTGATGCTTTCTGTTTTACCTGTGTTTTTCCTCTTATCCTTCTCGCTCTTCCTCTTTCTTGGTGGTTTGGTGCTTTTCCTTTGAGGTTGTTTGAGATGGTGTGATGGGGCTTCCCGATTATCCTCTTTGGTGGTGGTGTGTGGCTCTCCATTTTGTCTTTTTGTTTTTCCCTTGGGCTTCTCGATTTTCCTCTCTATTCGTAGTTTGGTACTTGAGGTGGTGCCGATACGGCTTCCCGATTGTCCTTTGTGGTGTTATGTTACTTTCAATTTTACCTATTTGTTTTCTCTGTTGAGCTTCTCGGTTTTCTCCTTTATTGGTGGTTTGGTGCTTGAGATGGTCCCAATGCGGTTTCCCGGTTGTCCTTTGTGGTGGTGGTATGTTGCTTCCTGTTTTACCTATTTGTTTTCTCTGTTGAGCTTCTCAGTTTTCCCCGCTGTTGGAGATTTGGTGCTTGAGGTGGTTTCGTTGGAGCTTTCTGGTTAACTTTTGTGGTTGTGGTATGTTGTTTTTTGTTTTACCTATTTGGTTTTCCCATTGAATTCTTGGTTTTCCTCTCTATTGGTGGTTTGGTGCTTGAGGTGAACTATCATTTTGACCTCTCGTTTGTCCTCTATGATTGTGGTATGTTGCTTTCCGTTTTACCTATTTGTTTTGCCTATTATGTGGTTCTCGGTTTCCTCTGTTTTGGTGGTTTGATGCATGAGGTGATGCCGATGGAGCTTCTAGGTTGTCCTCTTTGATTGTGGTTTGCTGCTTTCCATTTTACCTATTTGGTTTGCTTATTATGTGGTGGTAGTGGTTTGGTGCATGTTGCTTGAAATTGAAGCGGTTGTGCCATTGGGCTTTTCAGTTTTTCTCTATATGGCGGTTTGGTTCTTGTCGTTTGAAATGTAATTTTTTGGTTAAAGGAAAATTTACATGCTCATCACACAATTCTTATGCATGCACATATCTAGCATCTAAATTTTTTTGTGATATTAATGATTTGAATGTAAGTAAATATTAAATTTTAGCTGTTTCATAGAAATATAGAAATATAGATATATAT